TAAACCATCAATTCAGCTGTAAAATAAATGGTTATTGTCTATTGTGAAATACTATAAGTTTTTGAGATTTCTAATACATTCCCAAGACGGTACTTAATTTAATTTCTTCAACTTCCAGCGTATAAATTACTATCTGGTTATAGAATTTAATTTGGTCAAGTTCTATTTATATAGGTAATATTTATATTTTTAATGCCAAGAAAATATATGAAATGTAATTTGGTACTAATTTTGATATTTTTTTAACTTACAGATTTATTCATGTGTGTTATTTAATTATTTATTTGCAAATTAAATAKAGTGAGGGAGAATAGACACTAGACAGTMAATATTTTGAATGTGTGGACTATTGTTATTGAATAAATTAATATGTCATAAGAGCAAAATTTTATTCAATAATAAATTAGTACACACAAAAAATAACTCTAAGCGAATTTAGTCTGTTAGCTAATATTCCTAATTGTACTTTATGATATATATATTTATATTTGCGATTTTTATTATTTATTTTACTACTTAAAATATATGGTATGTTGAATAGTTGTTGACCAAAACTAAGCAATACTTATAATATAATTTTATTATTATTATAATAGTGTATTATTATATACTATTATGTTTATAATATAATATATTATTTTTAAAATACATTTTTTTTTATAAATTTTAACCTAATATATGATTTCGTCCAAATTTAATACCAAAATTCGTTTGATGAGAAACCGTTAGTTTACAAGATCATGGCCAATGACCAATGTCGTCAAAATGTAAACTCCAGATGCTCATAAAAATATTTAAMTATTAGTAAATTATATCCTTGTATTATATTTTTAAATATGAGKTACCTATGAATATTAAAAATGTCATGCTTTTTCCAAAAACCACCATCAAAGTTKATAATTAATGCATTTTCACTGCTCTAAAAGGTATTCATTAAATATTAAATTACAAAAAAAATAAGAATTAATTAAATTAATAAACATTCTGGCTGGCCGAAGAAATTTAACATATTATTATAAACCAAAATGATTTAATAACGGTTATGTTTGTCATCCATATACCWGCTATATGATCCAGTAGTTATGATATATTACTTGAAATGATTTAATAGTTTTAGAGCTTACGCGTGACTATCATTAGAGTGTTAAATTAATTATGCTTGGGATTTACATACCGTTTTATCGTAGAGTAGTTGGATTTTACAGTTCAATTGGACCGTAGACCCGATACGTGCGGTGACGTTGACGGGCCCGGGTCCGTCCTCGAACAACGGCGACCATTTCGATCCAACTTCGTGTTGATGATGATTTTCTTCGATCAAATTTACGTCCATCGTAATTTCTGTCGTCGAAATGTTTTCTGCGAAAAATACGAAGAAAAAATTGTCTGTTTAATACWGTAACATAATATTAGCTATTCAACAATAAGAAAATTACACACTATTATTACATTATAGAACACAACACTATATCGTTTTAATATCAGCTGTATTATTGGCTATTCTACTGTATTCTAATGTCAGTGGCGTATATAGGGGGGATAGGGGTTCAACCCCCCCCACAAATGTATGGTTGGTATTGGCCTTGATTTTGATTTTTATAATATTATATCATATTATATCATAATATTATTATTATTATTATTATTATTATTATTATTATATATTGTCAGGATTTCTATGAAATACTACAAGATAACAACGCATCGTGACGGACCGCTGCGAATCGTCGACGGTCTCTATATATATAATAGGTAGTTAGTATAGAAGTCTGTGTTCAATATACGACATTACGATGATAATCTAAAAACGAAATTYTCRATATTATTATTTCTTATTATTTGGTTGTTAATTATTATGAAGAACCGGAGAACCGGACAAACAAAATTTAGTTTGTTTTCGGACGTCGGTTGTTTCGGTAAGTGTCGCGTGTGTAACAAAATATTAATTATTAAATATGGCATCACAACCTTCATTATTAAATTTTTTTAATAAAAAGGTAGCCGTGACAGAGCATGAGAAACTTGATGATAATCCTTGTTCATCCAATACTATTAATAATAGCAAAATTGATAGTAATACTGATTTAACTGAATTAAATGAAATTCTTGATATTGGTTTATATATTAATACAAGAATATCTGACAACAAGTTGAAATATGATTTATTGAAAAAACCATGGCAGCCTCTTACGTACTACAACTTTTCGGTAATTTCAAAAAGAAAATTGAAATTGAAATTATCTTGGATCGCACGTTGTTCCTGGTTAGTATATTCTAAAAAATTAGAAGGTGCGTTTTGTAAAATGTGTGTACTATTTGCAAACGAAACATTTGAGAAAGGTAGCTCTGTAAAAGCTGGTTTATTAGTTAATAAGCCATTTATTAAATGGAAAAATGCAATTGAATATTTTAAAACGCATTCAAATGCTGATTTTCATAAATTATCAACGTTAAGAGCGGAAGATTTTGTTAAAATAATARAAAATAAAACTTTTGATGTAGCTACACAAGTAGATTYGTTTAGAAAAGCTCAGGTTATTGAAAATCGTCTAAAATTAATTCCAATAGGTAATTGAAACAATAATTTTTTGTGGTCGTCAARAGTTAGCSATGAGAGGTCATGACGATAGTGGGCCAATTTTTAACTTTGAAAAAGATAACAATGATGGCAACTTTCGATCTTTGTTAAGATTCCGAGCTTTAAGTGGTGATTTAACACTAAAAAATCATTTAATGAATTCGTCGGGTAAATCAGTTTATATTAGTCCTATAATTCAAAATGAAATAATAAAAATATTATTCAAAAAGAAATTGTGTTTAAAATAAACCAAGCAAAATTTTTTACTATTTTGGCAGATGAAACGTGATATATCTCGTATCGAACAAATGTGTTTGTGCCTAAGATATATTGATAATGGTTGTATTAAAATTTAAAGAAGACTTTTTAGCATTTATTCCTATTTATGATGTTAGTGGAAAAGGTATGGCATGTACAATTATACGAGAAATAGGAAAATTGGGAATTAAAATAGAAAATTTAATCGGTCAGGGTTACGATGGGGCGAGTGCAATGAGTGGGTTGTATATGGTGTCCAAAAGCATATTAGAGATAAAAAACCACACGCGCTTTATGTTCACTGCGCGGCTCATTCGCTTAATTTAGTAATCGGAAAATCTTGCACCATTCCTGAAATACGAAATTGTATTCACTAGTCTCCACAGTTATAAATTTCTTTCGAAAATCTCCAATGAGATCTGCGGTTTTAAAAAAATTTATAAAAAAAACATTCTCCAAGTACTCAACAAAGTAATCTTATACAAATGTGTGAAACACATTGGGTAGACCGTCATGAAAGTGTATTAAGAYTTAAAGATTTATACGAAGTTATAGCATATGCATTAAATGATCTCGAAAGTAATCATAATTTAGAAACATCACAACTMGCTTTTCACTTTTTCAGTTATCTAAAACTCATCGCTCGTCTCAATTTATTATAGCATTATATGTCATAGAAAAACTTTTTTCAATTACATTACCATTATGTAATGCATTACAAAAAATAAGTATTGTGATTTATCTGAATGTTGTGAAAATGTTGCAAATTGTATAAACGTTGTATCTTCTATTCGCAATAATGCYGATAAAGAATTTAAAAATTTGTTTTTAGAAGTCGAAAAAAAATTTGTTTATTGAATGAAAGTATTGAAATACCTCKAAAACTAGTCGTCAATCGTCTCGTAGTAATGTGCCAGCTGAATCACCAGAACAGTATTATAAGCGAACGATATTTATACCATTTATCGATTATTTTAAAAATCAATTAATAGAACGATTTTCCAAACATAATGAAATAATTTCCGTCTTACAAAAGTTGATTCCAAATTTACTTAACAAGTTTAAACCTAGTTATAATGATTTTGAAAAATGTATAGACTTTTATAAAAATGTTTTACCCAGTTATAATACATTTGAACCAGAATTGAAAGTATGGACAGAAAAATGGAAAAATGTTCCAGAGAGTCAGTGTCCAAATTCTGCTATTGATACTTTAAATAAAGTATCAGTTGATTTTTTTCCAAATATATGGTGTTTGATGTCAATATTAGTCACTTTACCAGTATCGACAGCGTCATCTGAAAGATCCTTTTCAACGTTAAAAAGATTGAAGTCATACTTGAGAAATAGTACAAGCGAAAATCGACTAACAGGATTATCCCTCGTGTCAATTCATCGAAGTATTTCAATAGACACTCRAGAAGTTAAAAATGAATTCGCAAATCTGCCTCGAAAATTAGATTTTGTCCTTTAATTTAACTTATATAAATATTTAATATACCTATGTGTTTTATTCTGTAGTGATTTTCATATTATTATTATATCGTGTATCATATTCTCTGTTTGCGTTTTCGCCGTGCGTCGGGCCGACCACGACGACAACCACTTATTTAATAAGCTTATATATAATTTTTTATTATTATGCTATKTATAGTTTCATACTGAATCGTTGTCGACGTGAGTCGATCACAACGCCAATGCCGATGAATAACTTTTGATATTATATTATTATTCAGCCCCCGTCTAGTCCGACGCGTAGGCGAATTTTTATAATATAATATTTAATATTTATGC